GCTGAACAAATGCACAAGTGTCCCATAATCCACACAAAGGTCACTGACTTGGAGTTTCTACTGCAACTGTCTGCAACAGTTAGTTCTGAACCTCTGAACCTCTAGCTCTGAAAACAAATGCAATTAAGCCCTGCACATAAAATTCTTAACCTAAATGATTTATAATATACTTTGAAAACTTTCTGTGGAAGTATCTAAATTTACATCACCTCAAACTGGTAAGCCATGTGTTACCCATTTCAGTACTCCGCAGTGGTGCTGAAATACAGGTGGCAATCTAGATGATAGTTTTGCCTATTGTTTCGCTAAAGTTTCACTTAAGCCTTACAATTAGGCCTAACTCAGGACCTTTCATCTCACCTACTGCCAGAGGTGTGATTTGGAGTCAATCATGGTATTTTTTAAAATTATTTATGCTAAAGGAAAGAAGTAAATTAAATGCTATCTGAGTTCTTTAGTTGTGGCAGGTCCACAGAACTACAGAATGCCTACTTTATAATTTCATTTTGGAAGAATTTTGGGTAATAGTCAGAAAAATCATCTTACCTTTACATTGAGGGAAGACAGAGATGCTGTATATATAATTTGTATGTCCATAATACACCTGCAGACACTTGCCAGAGATCTGCCATCTTCGAACACTAGCATCATTAGCACAGGAAAGGAATTCCATTTCACTGAGAATAGCTAAACCTCTCACACAATCTTCATGTCCTTTATAAAAGAAAGGAAAACTTTTAATGCAGCTTTTCTTTCCATTAGCAGCAATATACCATTTCTATTTAGCTCACATCTAAATCCTGGCAATCAATCTTCATTATGGGAGCAGTTTAAAAAAAAGCAGTTCATTGCTCATTACTTTCTGAAAAAAATCTAATTCTTTTAAAAGTGATGTGATTTCTGGGCATACAACTTGAGAAACTTAAGAAATCCTGCCTAAAACCTGTTCAGTTTATCTATGGTTTTGTAGGGTTTTAATTTTTTTTTTTATTTTTAAAAGAGCAATGACCCTGATGAAATTACCAACTGCAGCAACATTTACCAGTGAATGTTCTTTCACATCTGCCTGCCTTCCACAGTTTAATAGTTTTGTCAGCTGAACCAGTCAACATTAATCCCTGTTCAGGCAGTATTTTCACTGCCCATATTGCAGCTGTGTGACCCTGCAAAAAAAAAAAAAAAACAAACAATAGTTAGACTTGTCAGAATCAAATTCGGAGTACCTATTTTATATTCATGTAGAGGAACTTCATACCTGTAATGTCATCATACATCTGTCATTCAACCAGACCTTGGCTGTCATGTCCCATGATCCACTTAATAATGTGCCAAATTTCCCAGATGAAAGGCTGCAAACTGGAATGAACATTCAAATCAGCACTGACAAGTTTCCTGCATTCCCACCAATCTTATGCCAGCAATTTAGAGAGATGTATTTAAGGAGATTTACTTCGTATTAGGAGCATATTTAGTGTTGAGGAGTTTGAGGAAGAATTAAGTAGAACTGTAGTTGCACTGCAACCTAGAAAGGAGCTGCTTAAAAATCTCTTCACCTTAGATTACAAAACTTTCACATCTTTTCGACATTCATATTTTTAAATTTCTCTTAGTACCAGATCTTGTCTCCTTAGACTAGAATATGTTGACAAGCAGGTTAGATAACTAGTCAAGACACAGAATTAATGCAAAGGTTTAGTTTTAAGATTACAGAGAAAGCCAAGATTTCATCAACATGTATTAATGTACATCCTCAAGAAGCAATATTTCTTACCAAAAGTACTTAGCTCATCTTCTTGGAAGGCAAAATAATACTACCACCAAGAAATTGTGGTAACATTTAAAGATTTAGCAAAATGTTAATCTGCAAATGCTCCAGTAATACACAGGTAATAAAACTGAAGACACATGGTGCTAATACAGTTATACTAGTAAGTTTATAGAAAGAGCTAAGTCATAAACAGAGAATACCCTGTTCATCTAATCATTCATAAAAGCAAAGTATGGCCTTATGTTTCTTGCTCCTGTGACTCGACAGTGGCAACTGGACAGTATTCTACCCTGTCACTTGTCCTGTCCTACTTTTTCTCCACTTTAAAACAGACTTTACAATTAATGTAATTTTACTTTTCTTCATGTTTTACATTACTGTAAAAATGGCTACAAATACCTTTTTGTAGAGGAATCTATAACTTGCCTAGAACACCTCATTCCTTTTTACCTCTCTGGAGGGAGCATGTCACATGTTATTTTAACTACTCATCCATCCCAGGTTTCTGATGAAGTATGTAAGCTACTCCATGCCTCCTTATACAATGACATTATCTTCTTTCTTTCTCATAGAAAGCCAAGAGGTTTTAATACAAAAATAAAGTTTTGGTACTGCTTAGCAGTTCAGAGTATTTTCAAACTGGGCTCCACAAATATTCTTTAACACAGTTTAAAGAAAGCCCCAAAGCCTCCAAGACTTGAAATGTTTATTTTTGACACCCTATAATTAAACAATTAGACTGTTCAAAGGTCTGTTAAATACTAAATCAGCTCATGAAAAGACAAACTTCGTATGCTAATAAGAAAATTGCTGAATCTTTTATTATATAGCTCAAGAAAAGGTACACAAAGTTGGTTTAACATGTCACATGTTGCACTGACCTGACCAAAGAGAGGTGAAATTTCTGCAGTGAGCTTTTAGTCTTCACTATGTATTTAAAGCACCAATTAATATTAGATTCCCCATCCAGGTAACAAAATAGGCAGTGAGTTTGTTTACTTAGGAAGCTCACTTTTTCTACTGCTATCGACTTTGATATAAAAATTAAGCTTAATACATGGAGAACTAAATTAATTGCTTCTTAAAAATGCAACTCTTGGAAAAAGGGTAATTATTCTGTAAATTGCCATGTGTTCACATACACAGTAAAAGCTCAACCATTCATCAGTGTAAACTTGGAATGCTGTGCAATGAAGTCACTGCATGAATTGAGACTATAAAATCCTACTTGCAGAGGCCATAATTAAGAATTTTCTACATTAAATACCAAAGAAATCAAACTTGAGTTTTATAACTTCAACTTAATTTCCTCTATAACAAATCACATTAACTTTTATGCAACAAACGCCAAAATAAAATTACTACATACCTGTGTTCTTATGACCCTTAAGGACATAAAGAGGAGCTGGGTTGTCAACTGTGAAAATGCAAATATTATGATCATTGCCACCAGTTGCAATCAGCCCACGAGGATAGAGGTCACTTGGAGGTATGATGCACACACAAGATACAAAATTTGAGTGGCCACTCATACAGTGCATTTCAGTAAAACCCCTGTTAGGACTGAACATATAGGATAATCAGTTCAGAGTCATGACAGAAACAGTACTTATTTGAGGTACTGAATTACAACACGTGTTTTATACTCCAATTCTTGAACTAATAACTATGCTTGCATTGTACTGAATAAATACTATGGATTTCCTAGAAAGAATGAGAAACTTAAGAGAAAAATTATATCCCAGCATTCCAACCCAGTAAGAAATACTTAAAGCTTTCCACTAATTTTTCAGTAATGGCAGGCCTGGAAGGACTTAGTTTTGTTTTCACCTGCTCGTTGGCAAACACTGTGCTCAATTTGATCAGAAGTAGCTGCAGTTTGCCTTTATGAAATCTTTTGCTGTCTCAAGACTCAAATAGGTACCCAGTACACCCTAAAATAATGGAGCACATAAGCAAATAAAGTATACTGCCTGCCAGATCTACTCACTGGTTCTTAATTAGGAGCACTGTAGAGGTTTAATAGTTAAATACATTACAACTGATTCAAGCAGCACCCTTATTTCTTCATCATGATCCAGCCTCAATAGTTATAGCACTAACTGGAAAAAGCTACTTATCCCTGCAGAATAAATGTGTGCATTGTGGTGGTGTTTGGGTTTGGGGTTTTTTCCCCTCAAAAAACCCATATCATATCACACTGTCATTCTTCATACTCTAATGCTTGGAAAACTAAATTCTAAAACGTCTTCTCTGCTGAAGGTACAGAGAACAAATGAAGGTAACATACCTTCCTGCAAAATTTAAATAACAAAAATAACATACAGGAGTTTGCTTACCCACTGAACCCTGCCTACTGTAATCCCAGAGTCTTCAAAGCAGAGAGAGATAATCATTAGCAATGCTATGGCTCTGCATAAGTTACCAATGTGTTCCTCACCAGCCCTCAAAAATTATAGGTTAGAATTAGACTTCCTTTCCTGCAATAAATTTCTATGCCATTTAACAAGTTCTTTCCCTTGTGATGAGAGACTTAATAAGACACACTTAATGAGATTAGTCTTCCTCCATCTCAGCTGCAGAGCTACAGAGATCAGCTTAAACACGCATGTGAGCATTCAGGCAAATTTGCCAATTATCTGTTTCACTGGAAGCCAGTGGAAAGAATATCCATGCCTGGCAACTTCAGAATGTGGTTCACAATTTGAAAGTATAGACAGGTGAGGAAATATGTCCTGTGGCCTCCTGCAATACCTTACATCTCCATCATCTCCTATTCACATCACTTAGCAGTACCTCTTCTGGTCATAATGATATGCTGAAAAATTCACTGAGTGAATTCAGCAAGACAAATCCAGTAGGAGACAACCCCATACAACACAAACATCAGAGAAAATAATGTTGGGTTTTTTTCCTTTTCTAATGTCTTTGTGTATTTCTTTTCTGTGCAGTTTTTGGTTTATATTCCATTTTGTGTTCAAAGAACTCTGCTCAGCAAGGGCGAGAAAAGAGTTTTTAAAAAATATTCAAAGCATATGGCTTTACTGTCAAAATGCAGCATTGTACTTTGGTACTGAATACCAAGAGGTGGAAATAACATTAATACCACCTGGAAAAAAGACACCCATATTTATAGACACTATTAGTGTCTGCAAAGCACGCTAAAAATATCGACATGCAGTTAACTGTTTGAGCAAATACAACCTTCCCCAACGGCAGGCATGCAAGCGGTAATACCTTAGCCATTCGCAAACTCATCACAACGCCTCCAGCGAAGAGACTCCCCCCGCCGGCCACAAGCCCGGCACCGCCCCAGGCCCCCGCCGGCTCAGCCGCGAGTTCCAAGAGAGAACACGGCGGGGGGGGC